TCTTCATGAAACGAATGCCGGTAAAGGATCGGCACTCGAACATAAGAGCCTAGTGCCCAAAAAAGGGAATGTATTTCGGGACACTGCCACACTTTTAGACTTTTAGGCAGCTATTAAGTTATCTCTATCTTGTAACCAAGTCTGGTCCCTGAAGAATCGCAAACTTCAGATATCCGATGAAACAAAAGCTGCACTGTCGAGGACAATCCTCCAGCCAATAAAAAGCATCATTTCCATCTCAGTCAGCGGGCTTCGGTTGAGTAGCCAATCATACAGCCCCGACCATCCTAATTGAGCTAGCGCAGACGAAATACTTGCCTCATTTGGCAAGCGCGGTGGCTGCCTCGCTACTGCCTAAAAGGGTTAGGGACAGCATCGCCTCCTCCATCGGTCTCCATCTCCATCTCCTTGTTTCATGTCATCATCCACGACATTGGAACCTTAAGAAGGAGTCCTGTCTAGCAGTTGATGTGTGGATGAGAATGGTCCTTGGCAACGTGGCATCTGCGGCTCTCTCAAGCATAGGCCTACATCGATCTCTTGTAAAAATCTGGCCGAGGCACGTCTTCTGAGGCTGCCTAGTTGAATCCAGTTCATCGGCAACACACAGCTTGAATCGTCTTAAATACTTTGCCATTAACTTCAAAGACAGCGATCCGTCAACCGTGCAGCTACAAAAATGCCTTTTTGTTGTCGACCGAGCAAATTCTGTCTTGGGTGTCGCCAGAGACGCATCAAAGTAGGTGTCCTCCGCAGCGGAGGAGCCATACTGACCGTGACAGTGTGATATGACAGTCCCGGCCTGCTCTCAATGTAAAAGAGCTGGCAAGGAATGCGTGGGCTACAGGGACGAGCTCCCTCTGTTATTCCGAGACGAGAATGCTCGCACCATCAGACGAGCTACAGCTGCTAAGGCTCGATCCAGAGCTCAAAGAAAGGATGCAGGATTTGATTCCGCTTCTTCACCTGATTTGCAGCTTTATAGATCAAGCCAAAAGCCTATTACGGCTACCTCGTTACCCTCAACCTTGCCGTCCCTTGATATGGACGAACTCGGGCTGCATTTCTTCGTCTATCACTTCTCCACTTACGCCTGGGCCGGCCGATGCTCACCTCAAAATATTACGTCGGCCTTTATGCGTCGATTCGACGAAGATACGACTTTGAGAAGTGCGGTTGCTTCGGTCGGTTTAGCCGCCCTGTCGAATATTCGAAAGGATGAGGCGATCTTACGTGGAGCACGGCAGAGGTATGGTCAAGCCATTAGAATAATCCAGAGCACACTGAGATCTAAGACCGCCTACCAACTGAACGGTACCTTTAAGATTATGTTGATGGTTGCTCTATTCGAGGTAGGCAGCTACCGGTCCCCATGGAGGAGTAATGGATCTGATCGTTCGTCCATACAGATTGTCGACGCCAGCCCGACGTCAAAGCTATCATGGATCGTGCATTTGCAAGGTGCAGCAGCCTTGCGCAATCGGTCACCGCGAGATTTCTTCACCAAGAACCATCGTGCTCAGATCATGTTCACATTTACTTGGATTTTCAAATACTTCCAGACCGGAGGGCCCTTTCCACTGGAGTTAGAAGGTTGGGTGGCGCCGGATATACCTGTCGAAGCCAACGATGACTTACCTGCTGTCTCACTGATCGAGATCCTGCTCAGATTTATCCGTCTGCGTGCCAGTCTCTCCAAAGGCAGTGACCAACCAATGAGCAGCGCTTTAACGGAGGTACTGGCCTGCGAAATGCAGCTCGAGGGATGGTCAACGAGCCTCCCTGCCAAATTTGGCTACAGGGAGAAAGTTTCAACAGATACCTCACAATACTTCTATGGTCGCTTCCACCTTTATGAGGACGTCTGGGCTTCGCGCATTCTAATCCACTATCTTGCGGGCCGCCTCTTGGTGAATGAGTTGATATTGCACCTTGCGTCCCAATGTGATACGTCAACCGAGCGAATACTACAGACAACTCATGCCCGCCGTACGATCATTCAGATGGCCGTCGATATTTGCATTGCCGCCGCGAGCCAGCCTCTATTTCCGGATTATATAAGCCTCGACGGAAGAGATTATACGAGCCTCAACAGAAACGGCGCAATGCCTCCGCTCAGTGGCGTCTTTATGTTTATGTACCCCCTTGCAGTGGCTGCAACTGCGACTGGGGTGTCCGATGACCTCCGTGAATGGGTGTTGCGTACTCTTGATCATATTGGTCAGACCATGGGTATCCGTCAAGCTTTGTTGATGAAAGCCGAGGTAGCACAGTCCTGTAAGCGCAGGCTCCAAAGTCAAATATACTGTCATCGGACGGAGACTTCATCGAGCCTTGGAAATTCATGTCTGCAAAATGGCGATGCATGCTTAAGCTGAATGACACACATTGTACCAGTACTGAGAGTGCTATGACTAACGGCCCCGGTGCCGCCGTTGAGGATAGGAGCTGATCCTGCTGAGCTAATCAAATCAACCAACTCGATTACTCTTGCTAGGCTTTCATCAAAGTTGTCTTCGAACATTACATATAGAATATGAAAGCCTGTGAAATTGACACTAAAAATGACTGCTACTGCGGCCATAAATAGCTGCATTTCCACCTGTAATTTCCCCCAGTAGGCCACTGCTTTAGTACTTCAGCACATGCTCTATACGTTAGGCGCAGCGAGCCAGTATGTAGCAAAGCACAGGGGTTATATATATAGTATATGACCCAAAGAGATATCATCACCCACTAAGGCGTAATATGCTCACACCTTGGTCATTAGCTTGACTATAAAGGTATTACTACTACTATACTATCTACTATCTAATAGGGAGCATTCCCTAGTGCCCTTATAGTTCTAATTACTCTCCTAAATTAAGATAGCCTAGTATAAGTAATTCATATATCTATATTGAATAGAATAACTTTACAAGAAATATACCAGTGATACTTTCGTGCGAATAACATAGTCAATTAATCTAGTATCTACGACATACTTCAGGCGGCCTGGCCGATAGCAGGCACAGGCTTCGTGGCGGGGAGCATATACTGATCTGATCAGCTCAGCCATGGGGAAGCTGACAAAATCCAGGCAACAGCGGTTTAGCCCAAACCTTGATTAACTCCAATACCATGGTTTAAGCAAGAGCCTTTAACTTTCATCCAATAGAAAGTGGAAGGCTCGGCGGGTTCGACCCGCGACGGATGGCCATTTTAACTGAAAACAACCATTAGTTATCACTATGTATCATCAGCCATCAACAATAATCCACAGATGAATACCCATTACGGACACTCAGCTTTAGCAAAGGTTAATAAGAATGTTTGTGGGGAAATCTTTTTCCTTTTCCGTTTCTTTATTTCTTTGGGGCCATTATAGCTATTGCTGATATAGACCCTAAGGGGAAATGAATGACGTACATGAATTACTCTAGAGGGAAGTGGACGTGGACTCAACAGCAATGAATGATGTAGGTAGACTCTGGATGAAGTGGATATGGACTTGGCCAAGGTGGGATGCCCAGCAGGATGTGGACTCCCAGAGCTGATGTTGCCTCTGCCCGTATGTAGGGTTGTGGGCAACCATAATTTGTAGGGGAAACCATGGACTCCGTGCATCAGTATTATAACCGCGAGCAGCTACAGTCGCGTAATTGGGGTTGACTTAGCCGAAGTAAACCAGTGATATATCCACAAAGGGTCAATTCTGATGAAGTCGCTATTATAAAATGTCGCTGACGTTGACACTAAGGGGGCAATATTGCTAGGGGATATTATGCTGTCACTTAGACTAGAACGAATCCATATCCCTTACGGGTTGAAGACGCTGTGAGCTGGGACTTCTGATCCAACAACCGCTACGGATTCGACATTTCTGATATATATTATATATATTCAGATGAAAAGCATACCATATAATCTATAAATAGAGCAATATATGTACATGCTAGCTAAGGCCTAGACATACATCTAGATCGAATTTAGGCCATCAGCTCGTTTGGGGCTTGCGTGACCTGCAGGTAACCGGCAACACCTGGTGGAGACAGGGTGGTCCTTAGACCTAGCCCCCGAACGAGCACATTGGGATTAACAAATTGAAACATATCCTTTAATCTCTTAGTGAAATAAATCTCTCTAAGGCCAGGCCTACCAAGTGCATCAAGGTGGATGCCCCTGATGGGGGATATAACCACCATTGGCCCTAAGCTACAATGATACTTGGGAAATGACAACATCATTATCACAAGCTTCAGCCTTGATCCTTTCGATTTTCTTCTCCAAATTGCAGGCGATGAAAGGAGGAGATTCGTACCTTGATGAGGGTCCCCAAGGTTTTAGTCTATGACCCAACAGCCGTGAACGGAATCTTCAATGTATCATGAATCTGGCAACTGTCGCAAGCGGAAATGGTTCTCCATTATGTGCGGGTCTCAGCCTGTCATGGCCTCGCTGTTATTTTCTGCGTTGTGGTCTTGCGTCTGAATTCGGGTTTGCGTTTTCGCAAATGCACGTATTGGACATCCCAAATTCTTTTGTCTTACTTAATAAGGAAAGAGAGAGCAAAGCCAGTTGCAGAGATTCGACGGCTGTTCTGGATGACATGGTTGTTTGCATATGGGACTTCGGCTCCCGACGCGATGTTGATGACATACGCCCGTACGCGTTCTTCTGTGCACCCATAGGTGGAATGAGGTCTTCTCGTCACTAGATTAGCACCCTTACGCAATCATTCAGATCCAGTCCCTCATTGGAAGGGCACCAGCAATCATCATAGACGTCCGTTACATACTTTGCGAATGTAGTCTCCATGTTCCAGCTGTGGGCTAATGTGGGCTGTGATGTAAGGGCAGTCCATTGCTGTTGTCATATATGTTGCGGAATACCAGCCCTCTCTAGGAGACAGAACGTCCGTAAGACACTACAAGCTACAGACCGCTCTACACTCAGGTATTCATTCTGCATCACCCAAAATGGCCTCTGTACAGACAGCCTCTTTCCCCAATGCGAGAGACTTAACCATCAAGCAACAATTCTCGCACCTCAAGCGCAAGGGCGCGTTCAAAAACCTCGACTCTCTCTACCCCCTCATAAGCAAACTTAACGACCTGCCCACCCGCACCAGTATCGAAGTTGGCCCAGATGACCCAACCACCAGCCCTCGATCCATCCAGCAGACTGGCGCAGACACCCTCGTTGTCGGTGGCGCCTTGGTTAAGAACGCTTCCTACTTGACCATGAACGAGCAAGGTTCAATTAGCGAAGTGCCCATCCGGCCGCTGCCTCTTGTCACTAAGCCCACCACCACCGGCAGCGCCCTGCTTATGGCGCCCCTGAACTCCAGCCAGCCAACTCTCTTCCTCCAGCATACCCAAACGGGTCCTCTCCAGTTCGTTAGCGGTGTGGCAGCTGACCCGGTGCACCTTGAGGAAGTCGCGGCTGAGGCCACGGAAGCAAAAACGCCCGTTGCGGCAAACCCCATCAACGATTACGTGCTAAGTGGCGATCTGGAGAACTTCTGGGGCGTCAAGGGGCTCAAAGCAAAGCTATATGTATACCAGGGCGATGGGGCAACGCGCGAAAAAGTCAAGTTGGGCAAAATACCCTTGCTCGAGGACGGAGTGGGCTCCACGCTATCTAAACTGGAAGATTCGCCGCTTGGTAAACTCTTCCCTCACATCGACCTGGATGCAATCAATAAACTGCCCATCAAGAATATCGAGTTCACCTATTCTGAGGAGGAGGATGACTTCCTTTATCCCAGGGGTCTGCGGCTCGAGGGTGATGTCGAGGTTTCTGGTGGGCACTTGCAGCCCGTCGCTGACATGCTGGCGCGCATCTATGGCGAGAAACATGCGCCTGCAGAGCTGCATGTCTCAGCTCACTTGAGTGATGAGCGGGATTGGACGAAGCCGCCTAAGATTACGAAATTGGTTATCGGGGCGTATTTGGATGGGAATCTGAACGTCTGGGATCTTTTGACGTTCAAGTCGGTTGGCGTCGAGATCTCGGCGATTCAGGTTGAGCAGATGGAGAGCCAGGCGGATGACGAAGGTAGTAACAACGAAATGAAAGAGAACGAGAGTAATGAGGAGAACAATAAAAAGCGCCGTGAAGTTATCGCCGTGGAGAAACGTGAAGTCGAGAATAAAAGGGTGGAGGAGGACGTCACCGCTGCCAATGAATGGGAAAACGTGGATAAGGGCAATGATGCCAAAAAGCAGCCCAAGAAGACCTGGAAGTTCGGTCTCAGCGTCCTAGGGACCGCTGACATTCTTGGCTTGCCCAAGGCAACGAAGCCGCTAGGGACGAAATTCCGCATGGCGAGAGACGCTCAGGAGGACACGCTGTACAACATAATCTTGACTGCCGACGACTGGTCGAATGTCTACGGTATCAGGAATTTAAATGTGAGCCTACCTGACAACCCCTGCACATACGCTCAGCTAAGGCGTTTCTTAGTTATCTAAACCCAAGTTTACTGCGTCCTTCGAGGCCGGATCCTTCTCCAGCACAATTCAACTAAACACAACCGCGAAACTCAGTCTCGCTGATATCACTGTTGACATCGAAGGAAAGCTTTCCAAGGGTATGCTACCTTTCCTTCAATTCCAAACCCATGATCGAAAGCAGCTATCTAACTCCACCCAATATAACAATAGAAGACAGCTACCTCGACGGCCAAGTCGGCCCCTTCACCTACCACCAACTCTTGGAGGTCTACGCGCAAATCCGTGGCGACAACAAACCGTCGCTTTCCCCGCTTGACGTACCTGGCGAGAAGCTACAGTTTGAGCAGTTGCATCTTCGCCTGTCAAATGACATGACGGAAAAAGCACTGGAGTTGTCAGGCAAGGTTCATTTCAATGAGCATATAACCTCAAATGGCCTGATTAAGGTCGGCTCGGCTGGGTTGATCATTACCGGTAATGTTGAGGACTTCAAGATCGAGGGGCAGGATATTACAGTGACGAAGGCGTCGTTGGATATCGAGATTGGTGCTAGGCCGCCTAAAGAGGACCCGCGGAAGGGGGAAGGCGATAAAGATGAAAAAGACGGAGATGAGAAGAAAGAGTCCGGGACAAACACAAAAATCGCCGATGTTACCACTCCCGACACAATGAAGCTCGATGAAAAAGAAACTGATATTGACAAGAACCTCCGCAACCGCAAGAGCAAATTCGCGGTGACGGGCGAAGTGGAATTTTCTGGCCATGATATCAAAGTCGGCGTGTACTACGAACGCCAGGCGAAGACCAAGAAGCGCGAATGGCTGCTTTACGGCGAAATTGACAGGGTTCAACTGTCTGAATTTTTCCGTGATCTCAGTCGCTCGGAGTTCGACTATGTTCTGGAGAATGTGGCTCTTATAGCAGCGTCACAGGACTATGGGGACACGGATGATATTAATCTGAAAGGATATGAGGTCCGACAAGGTGTGTGCAGTGCAGTCCAGCCCTCTTAAGCTTTCAAGTTTATGAGGTAACTGACCAACCCTCGGCAGGACTCTCCCTGTGGGCGACTATCAAGCCCCCTAAGCAGATCACTGATCTCTCCAATGACCCGCCGCCCTTCTCATCTGTGAAGCTGGAAGTCAATTACTACCAGCGTGTTTTCACTATACAGGTGGAGATGCCACCGGAGTTCGCTGTTAGTTCTCCCTCTATCGCCGTCCTTCCAATACTCTCCACAGTTCCCTAACGAAACATTGCCAGATCGACATACCGAAGACTCAGTCCCGTCTTGAAAGGATGAGCGTCGGCTTAGAGACTGGCTTAGATCCGAAGCTGACGCTACGTGCCATTCTCAAGATCGTCCTAAAGGGGCAGAAAGACCCGTTAGAGATCGAGGTAATGATCAAGGCTGGTGCTGTAGACGCGAATGGTTCACTGTAAGTCTAACGTTATCCTGTACCCGATCTGGACAATGAAGAAGATGCTTACTGCATTGAAAGACGATCTATAACGCCATGGGTGAACCCTTTCGATATCAACAAGGACCTCATCTTGAATGCCCTGGCTGTTGAGTTAGGCATCAACTATGCCACGGTTGCTGAGCAAGGACCTTCGTCAGTTTATTCTTCTCTTAGCAATCTACAGGAGAGTTCATGCGTGTCGAAGCTAACCAGTCTAAAAGGACCTTCGGATTGACAGCCGAGATCGACATCGACAGCACCATGGCCAAGGGTGGTATGCTCATCAGCGAGACCGAGGGCGAGATGTTCCAGGTTGCTGTGGAGAACATGGATATGTGCAAAATCGTCCGCTTTGCTGGCCGTCTGGCCAAGATTGAATCCCTAAAAAATCAGGCGGGCGTCCCAGGTATACTTGTAATCGAAAAAGGAAAATTGTACCTCTCCAGCGGGGTCAGGATCGGAAGAAAAACCTATTCCTCGGGAATTAGTGTCGCCGGAAAGATGAAAATCTTTGACAGGACGGGAGAGTTCAGCGCGGATATCAACGACGCGGGATTCACTGCCGCCGGAACAGTTGATAGCTTTCAGATCGGCGCCCTGAAGGTTTCTGCAGCTGATGACGAGAAGAACCCCGCCAGCTTTGATATCGCAATGACTCCGGACGAGCAAAGAGTCAAGGTAGATGGGATGGTACGATACAAAGATGTGAAGATGGTTGCGCGGGTGGACTGCAACATGCAGGCAGCACCGGCTGGGCTCGACGCCCATCTACTGGTCCAGTTCGATGAAGGATTGGAGATCGACCTTCTTGCCCACGCCACTGTCAGTGCCGCGCTGAAGCTGTCTGAGACTGACTTTGAGTTCTCGGCGGTCCTAGATGGCCATTTATTCGATCTTATCTGTAAGGGAATCACAACAGCCCTGCAAGCCCTTCAGAAATACGCCGATAAGAGATTCACCGACTATGAGCAACAGCTCAGTGGCGAACTGGCAGAGAGTCACAAAGAACTCAAGGAAAAGAAGGAGGAGCTGTACGAAGCTGAGTCGACCGCCAGAAAAAATGAGGCAAAGCGCAAACAGGAACTCGAGAATGCAAAAATAAACTTTGACAGAGAAAAGAAAAAACTTGACGATCTAAAGGAGGCACTTGCCAACGCCAAATCTCACAAAGACGGACTAGAAAAATTGTATCGAGAGGAATTGGACAATCAGAAACGCGAACGCGATACAGCAAGAAAAGAAGCGAGGGAGCAGTACAACAAAAAAATGACAGAGCTTCAAGACGAAGAACGCCGTCTCAAGGCTGACAAGGCAGGTTATGACAATCAGCGCGCCCAGTCATACGGAGCGTTGGAAGCAGCATTAAATTCCTGGTTGGGATCGAAAAAGGAAGCCGAAGGTAAGCCATGTCACTCGTTCATGGATTTTTGAACACGACTGATTGTGATAGACCGCATGAGGAAGGCCAAAGAAAGTCTTGATTATTGGAACGGCCGATGGAACCGAGCCGGGCCCTTTGAGCGAATGAAAATAGTGAGAAACTGGAGTCTTTCGCGGTAAAGGAAACCTTACTGACCTTTCTCTAAGGGGCTATCAGTGGACGCTGCCAAAATCGAGGACAGCCTAGCCGAAGCGCACTGGGCTGCCGTCATAGCCGAACAGTCCGTGGTTAGCGAATTTAAGAATAGACCAGAATACCGGTTCTTGATGGACAAGATTGATACAGTGACCAACTCTTTGGTGAATGTTGTCAAGGATCTGACGGCGTTGAAGAATCAGGGGATAGATGGTTTCATCAGGGCTGCAATTACGCCTGAAGAGGAAAAAGTCCAGGAGGCTCAAAAAAGACTGGACGCCCTTCTCGACGTGAACTCCAAAGAACAAAAGGCTATCCGACGGGCACTGAAGGATCTTGAAAATGACAGACCGGACATTGAGCTACGAATCCAGCAACATAATAACGAGATCTCCCGTCTGGAAGATGAAGGTACGAAGCGGGTAGCCTGGCTCGACTATGACAACGCAATGAAGCAATATAATAATCTAAAGAGCACGGTGGGCACCCTGAAGCACGCCCTGGAAACAATACACCACGAATTCGATGCAGGTATCCAAGTCGTCAAGGATAAGACGGTGATCTGGCGCAGATTTTTCCCAGATATTACCAGGATTGAAGTCAAGGCGAGCACCAACGCCATCAAAGCCCAGAAGCCAATCATGATGAGCGTCACAGCCGAATACGAGGGGAAGCTGAGGTCTTTCTCCGTGGAATGGACACCCAGCTCGAAGTTTAGGCCGTACGATCTCTACAAAACGATTGCTACCAATGCTAAAAAGAACTTTACTTAGTCGGGCTGTTGAGGCGGACCTCTACAGTTGTTGATGGCGATACTAAGGATTGAGATGCCTGGTTTTTGACGGGCATGTGCTTCTATACAAATCAGCTGTAGATTTAATATTACTGCAAGCTCCAACCTTAACTCATTGGTGATTAAAATATAACATGTGGTTAGGTACTTACACGCCACTATAAATATAACAAAGGCACAGCTACCAGGTCCATGGGTGGTTGTGGTGAACACACCAGAGCAGAGGGGTTAGCAGCAAGTTAAGGACTATTATCCTATTTGCATACACTCAGTAGTCGGGAAGGATATATAAGAACACCCAGTTGTAACTTTTATAACACCGACTTTCAACTAGGACAAAGGAAGAGTCAAAAACTCACAACATAAGGCCTGTATAAGTTGCAAAGGCTAATCCAACTAGAGAGCTAGTAAAATGGGTCTCTGGAGTTATATGTGCTGCAGCTAATAGCTTTACTCTCATACTAAAAGGAACACACTGTCTTGAGCAGTGGTACAATTCAGAAGGGTGCATCTTCTTCCAGGCGTTGTCAGTCCCAAAAGTTTCCAGCACTGTCCGGGAGGCCAGATTAGTAGTCAGACATCAATCCTAACCGCATTGTGGCCCATATCACAAGAACTTGGCACACCAGCTTAGCCTAAGCATAATAATTATGTAATTTTACAGCTAGTCCGTGGTCATACTAGAGTGACATGGCCCTTACTGAGCGATATCTGTGATTTCACTTCTGATGTGACCATGACCACCAATTCCTGACGGAATTCTCGAAAACACTATATTGGTAGGGAAGGTTCTAGAAAGTGTCAGCTCATACCTTTGGATATACCTGGTAGGCGCAGAATATCCTGTACTGATAACAAAATTTACAGACTATAAGGGCCGTCAGACCACCTGTGAATAGTTAGGATAAACAGCAAGACAAGAGTAATTTAGGGATGCCCTAATATCCGTTATTAGCAGCCATAAAAAACCGGTAAGTCGTATAGGAGATATTTACTAATTACTATTGGAACTGGTAGTAAGACAAATGTACATCTGATGACAAGACAAGCATACGCAGATCTCAGCCGCTCTCCAGGCTCACTTGGAGATATACAAAGAATAACATTATAAGCCTTACTATATACAGGTGAATTAACATATATCTACTATATACCTATAATAAAAGACTAATAAGAGGTATCTAAGTATAGTAGGATGATTTTTATAGGGGTAATATAACGAAATATAATTGTAGCTTCAGGTTGGTTGGTATATGGATAGTGTGAGGACGGCTAGGAATATTATACAGGACTAGCTGATCTGGAGATATGAAGCTAAGATTCTGACACAGTGTATGCAAATGAATTATGGTATCTATTAATTATCAGACCTCGATAAGCAAATACGTAGCCTTATAGGGGCTTATAATCATAATTTAGCTGCAGTTTATTGTCCTGAAGTAGAATTATAGATAGAGTAGGTTAAGCCCCACTAGACAGGGCGCTGAAATATATGTAATAACTACCTCTCTAGGAAGACCCCATTAGTAATTTAATATTAGTAGTGAAGTTGGTTATAACGCATAATCCTAATGGAAACTAAGATATATCTAGGTAATAAGCTATAGATATATTCCTTAGGGCCTTAAAGACAGGCACATAAGGAGGGTGTCGGCGTGTCGCTATCACTACCCTTGAATAACTACTGATTACCCAGAACGGCACTGTCGGTGGGGTATGGCGTGGGGGGATAGAGTTCTTGGATTTCAAAACCCGCTAATTCCGGATTGCCAGTGAAGCTGCGAAACGACTGAGCCCACGAACTGGGTATTCGTTGGATGTCGCATATCCCCACATGCTACGTCCGTAGGCAGAGCCGAATACGTTAATATCTTAACCCCGTTTGGGTTCGGCGGGTGTATGCATACTCCGTACACGAACAGGTGGCGTAGGATTCGGTCAATTCCAGTGCCATTACAACATCCCAGTCGCCGCAAAACCCGAAAACCAGAAACCCATAGAAAGCGGATAGCTGCTAAGCTTTCTCGTCAGTTGGGGGCGCCCTGAGCGGCCCTGATTGTCCCTCCGAGTTCCGATTCCCAACATAGTAGACTCATGGCCTGCGATTTCGAATCCTTACAAATCGATGTGAGACTGGGGAGGCTTAATGCCTCTGGTAATTATTAAGCACCGAGAGACGCAGAAACCCGTCGACTGGTTATATTGCAGCAAAGTTCCGCAGAAGATGCGTGAAGTTCAGCAGACTAGGACACGGCACCGTCACATTCTTAACAAGCTACAGTACAACTTCCGAGAGATCCTCAATACAAGACACGTCCATAATGACCAATGAAGCTGCCTGGCTCAAGGAGCCCAAAGCCAATGTCGAAATTGCGCCGGCCCCGATGTACACTCCAGGTCCCGGAGATGTGTTGGTGAAAGTTGAGTCGATTGGATTCAATTCCATTGATGCGAAAATACAGAAGTGGGCCTACCTAGTCTCCCCAAAGCTAAAAAGTGTCGCTAATGCCCTTTTCAGGCACTCCGCGCTCCCCATTCCTTATCCTGCCATTCTCGGGGTTTCCTTCGCTGGCGTAGTCGAGGAAGTCGGTCCCGCCGTTACCTCCGTACAATTGGGAGATCGCGTGGTCGTTAGCAAATGTCCTGGTGGTGGGAACAGCTATAGTGCCTTTCAGAAGTACGCCCTCGCCAGGGAATCTTTCCTCGCGAAACTCGACCGGAGCACTACTTTCGATGATGCATCTGCGGCAATAACCAATTTGGCTACAATAGTAGCGGCTTTGACCATACAGATGGGACTGCAGCGTCCCCCACTTTCCGGAAAGGCGGAACCCAATGGGAAGAGGGTCCTCATATATGGAGGCTCATCGAGCTGTGGTCGGTACGCTACCAAGTACGCTTCCGATGCTGGATACGAAGTTGTCACGACCTCGTCTCCAGGACATAGGAAAACCGTGGAGGAGCACAATCCTTCCTACATCATCGATCATACACTGCCTCATGAGAAGTTGATCAGCGAGCTCAAATCTCACGGCCCCTACGATGCTGTGTTCGATGCCATTGGCACACCCCCTGTGACGGCTATGCTGGTTGCCATGTTCGGTGAGAAGGGAGGATCATACCACACTACTTTGCCTCCTATGGGCGACGAGCTGATTCCAACCAACGTGGAGAGGACATTTGCGTCCTATACCGCTTTGCTTAACAAGAACGAAAATGAGGATGTTCGAAAATGGTTCTTCGAACAGTATGTTCCGAAGGGGCTGGCAAATGGACAGATTATCCCGAGCAGCATAATCAAGAAAGAGAACGGTCTGAGAAGTGTGCAGGAAGTACTGGATAGCATTTTGAGTATTACTGGAAAGCGATTCGTTGTTAACCCCCAAAATTAGTGTCCTTTGCTCGGCCATTTGGGCCCATTTGGATTTATGGAAGCCACTCCCTGACTTAAGTCGTCCTTCAAATATCAGCTGCATTCTACCTTGGTCATCTAAGCAACGACTAAGCCAATATAATTTGCCATACGAGTTAATACTCCTTGAATCCGACAGGAAATTGCCCCTCCCTATGCAGGCAGATATTTGATAGCGCAATATGGGCTCAGGAAGAATTTGCAATACGTAATACTAGTTCAGCCGAGCACGCAGGTATATAACGGCCAATGTCCTCCTGTTCTATCTATCATCTGCTCATGTGGTATAGTCTTTGCAAACAATACTTGCTTATCATCAAAATGTCTTCCAATTTGCCTGCGAGGTGTTGCACTGTTAGTGTCAAACGCAGTGTGGACGCGAACGGGGTGTATGCACTATTTAGTTTCCCTTTGATATATACAAACAGAGCGTCACCCCGCCTTTAACATCTGCTGACCAATAAGAGAGGCAAAGTAAGCAAGTTGCATGCATGGTGTCTGCGCCTAGCTCCACTCAGCACTACCTCTACCCGTGTTGGTAACAGAACCAGCTACTTTATCATAGGAAACCGCACCCTAGCGGCCTGGTCACTAATCCCCTTGGATACAAGAACTTTCTACGAGGCTTGGCTCATTGTGTTCAGTAATCTTCAATCTCCTTGCACTGTGACTTCGCCGAGCGCAATGCCGTTTAATGAATAATGAATTTAGAAAGTAGTAGATAGAGTATAGAAACTATTGCCAACGCATCGGTACATGGATTTAGGCCTTTACTTCTAATAAAGACTTTACAGTATCCACCACACAGTCCTTGAAGGACCTGAAAGGTATTCCTAGAACCTGCTTCATAGGCGTGTTGTCAATCACGAAGCTCCGGGTCCCATCAGGAACAGGAATCTGCTCGGGAAGTCTGTCTGCCAGCTCAGGGAAATTTTCCTTGATCACTTTGGCGATTTCGTAATTGCTATATGGTCCGGCGGCAGCAAGAAACCGTTGGCCAGCTGCTTCTGGGACTTCTATTGCGCGAACGTGAGCGAGCGCAACATCCCTGACGTCTACCCACTGGAACGAACGAGGGGGAATGCCAGATTTCATCTTGCCCAGTATCATATCGCTAAATACGGCGTTGGAGGTGTTGACGTTTTCAAGGGAGTCCAAACGAAATGTGGCGGGTCCAAACACCATAACGGGATTGATGGTGGAAAGAGTGAACCCCGGCTTTTCAGTTTCGATAAAGTCCCACGCAGCTTTCTCGGCAAATTTCTTGCTCCCCACGTATGCTAGCTGACCATTCGTCAAGGCCTGCTCCATTGTGATAGGGTTCCAATAGTCCGCGGTGTATCTAGGTATCGCTTCCTGAAGGTTCACGACGGCAGCAAAGGAGGAGGTAATGACGACTCGTTTGACGGAGGGAGCCCATCGCTTGACAGATCGAAGAATTTCCGTGGTTCCCATGATGGCGGGATCAATCATGTCCCGCTTTCGGTCTGCTGCATGATAATGAAAGGGGCTAGCCGTGTGTACTACAGCTTCAAATGGAGGTTCCGACTGAACAGCCTTGTCGAAGGCTCCCGAACGCGCCATGTCCTCAACTATAGCGTACGAGAGGTTATTGGCAAACTCGGGAAAGCTTTCCAGGCATTCTCTCCCCTTCATATCGCTGCGTACAGTGGTCACGACTGTATGGCTGCCAGTTTGTCAGTTAATGCCCATACCAATTTTCAGGCGTACAAACCCATGTTGGAGTAGGGCTGATAGACAGTGCTTCCCAATGAAGCCGCTGCCTCCGGTAAGAAGAACTTTCATGATATGTCCACTTGAAGAAGAAGAAGCTCCAGCTTATGCTGCCCTTGCAGATGTATGGTGCACTTGAAACTGATCGTAGGCAGAGAATATGGACACCGGTCAGTATTTAAGTACCTAGTACGCCGTACATTAGTGACGAGCCCTCCCTGCGGGGTTAAAAATGGGTCGAGCCTATTTAGATATCGGCCAGTGGGTGGGATGGGCCGTCCTCGAAAACATCGGCCATTTGCCAGCTGCCGTTGAGCGGGCGTGGAAGATTCATCAGTTCCTGGGTCTGGCAGCCACCAATGGCATTCCTTGGGCCGGTCAGGCCGGGCGACCAAAAAATGAATGCTAAGCCGAAACTCATGGGACGCTGTACACGAGATATGACTGTATGTAATAGCAGGTAATCCTACTTGGCACCTTGGCTTACTTTCTGGGCTTTTTGACTGCTTGGATATTCTGAACGCTTGAACAATGGTATTGCCAAACGCCTACAGACACCATGACCACTGGCCTGGAAACTAGGGCAACAACCGGTAAAACTTTCGGAAGCTTTGCAATCAATTCGCAGACGGGAGCATGACAGAAAATATTTTTTTGCTTCTTTTGACGGTTATTTTCCTAACATGCGTCGTCGTTCAACCTGAGCTGCCTCTGCAGTCGATGCAAGTCCGTTTTCAATTCTAAGGTTATTGTCTTCACAGACGCACAACTACCTTCTGCCCGTGGCCATCTCTGTAGCCATCCAATGCCGTATTGATCCTTTCCGGATCGGCCCCGTCAACGAGTTCGTATCTCAGTGAGCGAAGGTTCCCAGCCTGCAGCCAGCCCACTACATTCTCCCAGAACACCATTGACACGTCAGGATACAACGCGCTGAACCCGAAAGTCAGCCGTCTGTCGTAGCCGGCAGCCTTTCCTCCGATCAGCGCTTTGTCCGGCTCAGTCTCATCCACATGGTTCAGCGTGATGAGGCAACCCTTTCGGGTGTTTGACAGTGCCGCAAGGCCGAGGTTCTGAGCGGGCCCTACATTAACCGTGTCGAGGGCATAGATAAGCTCGTCACCTGTGACGCCTCGAATCTGGCGTAGGATCTCGTCGCGGCTAGCGTGACGATCAATCACATGCGTTGCGCCCATGCCTTCCAACTCTACAGTGTTTCTTGAAGAGGCAACGGTGACTATCCTATCGAATCCGACCATGCGAGCCAATTGAACGGCAAATCGACCGCAATTTGATCCCCCGCCGAGAATAAGGATAGCCTGATCCTTAAAGGCTGCACGAGTCTCATCCCGGGCTAGTGGCAACGGCAGGCCTAACCCGGTCGAATGAAACAAGGCGATGAAAGATGCCATGGCGCAGACGGGAATGCCAGCGGCCTCTTCATCCGACAGGCCGGTGCCGGCTACCCTGGCGGCGAATCGGGCATCGACCAAGGCGAATTGTTGAAGACCGCCGCAATCTGTGAGTTCTTGCCCAGGGACAAAGTTCGCATGGGCAAATATGTGCTCACCCACTGCAAACTGCGACGCCTTTCTGCCTGCACCGCGTTTGACCACAATTCCCGCAAGCTCGTGACCCAGGACTTGAGGGGGCTCTTTGAAGAACAAGCCTACATCCCGAGTTTTCTGATCAAGAGGATTTACTAGAGACTTATCAGAAGGAAGTAATTGCCAGCGGCGGACATTGTCTTACAGCTTGCAGCCGTCACCTGGACCAGAAGTTGATTTTCCCCAGGGTCGGGAATCGGTCTTTCCACAAGTACGGCAGGGGAGTTGAGCGTGGTGACAGCAATGGCCTTTTGCATGTTGATTGATTCAGAGTCGGGAAAATTCGATACGATGTTGCGTAGTTCAGCAATAAGCAGTCTAAAGTGTTGCTTGAGTCTAAGCTGGCGAATTGATGCAAAGCAATAGATACCTTACTTAGGTATACTAGCAACGTCAGGAGTGGGGACTTAGTGCTCATAATAAACTCTACAGCACCGTATGTTTAATGCAATATGATTGGCCGTGTAATCACCTTGCATTAGCTCCTGCTGCTAGCCCCACTTAGATGCATCATTTTGACCCACTCTAGCAGAGCACCGTTTTTGGTGTCTTGCGAGTGGCAAGAAAAGTTTCACGTTCCCATGGAGCATGCATTACCCAATAGAGTGAGGATAAGTAATCAAGTAAGCACTGAATCTGCACCATAATGATTAAAGCTGGAATGCACTGATGGTTCAGTAGCAGCAACTTAGTCCTGATCTGGAAGCCTCAAACTCAACAACGCGGCACCTTAGCCAGTTATATTTATTGATCTGGCTGACAAATGCCTGGTAAGCGTCCTGCATGTATTAAATAGAGATAATGACCCGTCACATCTGAGTTCACACCCGTTATCCTACTGGTTCAATCATCAAGACGCATGTATAATGGATCCCACCATTCCATTGCAGCAGTTACCGCAACAATTGAAAGCACCAGGTCCTCAAGATGATTGGACTGGAGTTAGTGACCGGGCTACACGTCGGCGATTACAAAACCGACTAAATCAAAGATCCTATCGTTGGTAGTCCTTGATCTCTTAGATGGGGTGCTAGAGAGTGTTAACTTCCTGATTGTAGGACAACGCCATGCTAAGAATAACAATATTAGCCAGGGTCAGCCAAATGGTGTGGACCCCAGTCCAGACAGTGGCCATCCTGTTCAGCCCATGAGGAGTGTGTCTGCTGCACTTAACACCACCTCACATGTCGCTGCCATAATCTGCAGCCTAACTATTGACAAACACTCTACATGTACCTTTGCACCGCCAAATATCCACGAACTAATGAGCCAATTCGAAAGGGATGCCGTGGAAAAATACCTTTCCGGCTCCCCCAAGATAGATGATCTCATCTCTCTCAGTAGAATAAATGTTCTACGCGCGGCTTACGAAAATGTCATTGCGCTGGGCATGACTGCTGAGTGGCTATGTGCGGATGAAGCAGTTTCCGTGTTTAGTCAGTCCCGTCCAGGGGTACAAGAAACAGATATTCCCCAGAGCCTAAGCCCGACAGCCTTGCAGCGGAGAGTTCCACATCATCCGTGGTTGGATGTCTTTCCTTTCCCGCAGATGCGGGATAATATGATCATGGCTGGGAACGCCCTAGATGACGATGAGCTGTGTCATGACCTTGTATGTTTCTGGGACACTCGTGATAGCCGCGCAACGCTACTCGTCTGGGGAGCCCCGTGGGATCCACGGAACTGGGAGGTTACCGAGGCGTTCGCTAGGAAGTGGAGCTGGGTCCTAAGAGGCTGTCCTGACCTGCTGGTTTGTACAAATATGTGGCGACGTAAGAGAGGTGAGAAGCCTCTGCTTTGGAGGGAAATCCTGGGGCCGAGAAGAGCATAGGTGTTGCAAATGCCTAGGGGTGTAATAGGACGCATTAGAGACCAACCAAGCAGGGTTGTTTAGCCCATAATTCATGGCCATTTTTCACAATACAACTAGTTTACCAGTGGGAAGGTCCAAAGGCACATCGACGTTGATCATGATTTGGAGACAGTCATGGTAGAATTAAACAGTAATAGGAAGCTGGAGCCAGATGTCGAAGGCTTATTCAAGAGTGTACGTGTCTAGACCTGTTACGTTACGCTATCGATTTCTCCGCACGCAAGAGCGAACGTAGAGGTAGGTCGCAATAGATTGCCGTTGATCCAGTCTCGGGTTCGCGAAAAGTGACGCTTGACTATATTTCAACAAGCAGAGTTTTAGTAGGTGCGGTGGCGCCTCTCATGGATGGTGCATGCAGAATGTGGTATGCCCGAGTTATCGGCTGTTTGCTTAAGCTCTCGATATCTATGAAGATGCCCTCCATGTATAGCCAAGGATGTGGATAGATTCGAAGACTCTGTAGAAGGTAGCCGGATACTTAGCGGATATCCTTGGCGAATTTTTGCGCTTTGCTTACGCTTTGACATTGTTTCACCGGTAACATTTTCATGCATTGCCTGAACGCAAAGGCCACCTGTTCCGCTGCTCGTGGCATCTCAGTTCATCGAGCGGGAGAGGCCCGAAAATCCCTCAGAAACCTCCATCGGACCCTCTCCCCGTAGTTCTTCTCCTTCCAGTTGTTGATTATTGCTGGGAACATATCTGCAATTCCAATGATTGACTCATCGTGCGCAAGGACAACTAGGATATTACCACTCGCGTCCAGCATTCCCAGCTTGCGGATCGAATCTCGCGCTGCATGCTTGTCAACCATGCACTGTTCCGGCATCTGGTAGAACGGCTCATTGCAACTTTTTCGGGGGTGTAAGCGTTGGAAGATTGATCCGGGACATGCCTGCGCGTAGAGCTCAGGCAAGGGACTCGGGTGGTACTCTTGCAACAGAGGGCGCCATTCAGTCGGTCGAAGGACGCCAGGGTAGTGGCAGATATCGCCCCCCATAAGAACGAAAGTATCTTCGCCAGAGTCTTCGGAGCCTGACATGACGCCGGACGTGACACGCGCCAGGGCGGCAATATGGCCTATTGTGTGGCCTGGGGCGTCGAGGAGGTAAAGACTGCCATCTCCAAAGTAATCAATCGCTTTGAAGGCTCCGATTTCTATAGTTGAGTGGGAGTTGAAATCAAGTTCATCGACGGTGCGGTCTTTCCAGTCTTCTTCTATCAAAGAGGAGTTGGGAATCTCCGGCCATCCAGGCAAATAGGCTTTCTGAAATCCTTGTCCAACTATGATCTTCGTTGACCTAGGAAATTGAGTGATATCTCCGAGGTGATCGAAGTGGTGGTGACTGAATATGATGCCTTCAATGCCATCAAGCAAGACGTTATTCTCCTGTAGGATTTCAGAGACATTCTTCTCAACCGCCAGTTTCCATCCTGACTTTGTGAGGAAATCCTGGACAGCAGGTGGAAGTGTAGCATAGTCCGGCCGCAGACCAAGATCGAAGAGAAGTTGGCGGTTAGTGCCGGTATGTCTTATTAGAAATGAGAAAGAGGGGAGAGTTAGATACGGGCGGTGCTCTGGCGTGGGAGTCACTATATCAGAGGCAGGAAGATACATCCGCGTGCTACTTTATGTATCAGCGAATGATGACCATGGGTGTCATCACCAGAATACTTATCAATAATGGACACTTCGACTATTTGTCCCTTGGGGATTTGTGGATTTGGAGCCTCTGTCGGCTCGATCAGGTATTTGACGTCTGTCATTTCGTCCTTGTATTGTCAAGCTACGAGTGCGGAAATAACTCAAAAGATCGTCTTAAATGATCTGGGGTTCTACTTCTTTATCAATTGTTAACTATTTGCGGGGTCGATGAGTCATAAAACAGAATTTCCAGATCCTCGTCCAATACGTGTGTCATACTCGACCATTGCCGCATAAGCTCTCCTCCGAGCTGAACCCCTGCTCGTGCTCCAGAGACTCAGTATTGATCGCAAGGGCCTCCCACTGGGTTTACAAATTCTCATGCAACACGATCATTACCTTGCCCTCCACAAAGCCAGCCGGGCACGCAATCAACCCCACCGCAACCCTAAGGAGTGCAGGCAGAATGACCGGCTGAACAAGTCTCATAGAGTCACTGTCCCGGCCACTCTACGTTTGGTATTGTGGTAGTGATAGGTGGAGGACTTGGGTATTCATCCAGGCCGGAATACTGGTGTGGACGAAATGAATCAAGAACTGGATCCTTCGTACCGGTCAACGCATCTAAGAAGGGCGTCTGGAATATAACGTCAGATGCTTCCCACTTTTCTATGTACTTTCAGTATTTACTGAAGATCTTGTATCTTCCTGGCGCATCACATCTCTGCGCTGCGAGGTGCACAATGTTTACTTGGAAACGCTGCTACTCTTTGCATAACTGCCGCGTTCCTCGATTCGTATTCCGCCGCATATCCCCCGTCTACTCCTGTTGCTAGAGTCCCACTGCCAGGGGTACAGGCATCATTTCTGCTGTCGATGCGCATTTTCATCTTTTTTTCAACTCTCGCTGTGCGTAGATCCTTCTGCGGGATCTGATAGCTTCTTAACCATTGCCACAGACGACAATTGGAGACTTGAGTCCTTATATACGAGATGGACATCAGATTGATTTCCAGCGTATACGGATTTTATCCAGGTTATGATTCATATGCACGAAATATGATTCTAAAGGGGATCACCTAGCTATCGATTGATAAATATCCGTATATTGGAAGCATTTAATACGGATTACACGTGTTTTTGTGGTGTCGTGTCGGACGAGCAAGCCGAGGTCCTTGTTGCCCTCGGGATAAAAGCGGTGGAAGACGTAACCGAGCACATAGTCGGTGACTCAGAGGAGAAGCCTTATTAAGCCCTGGCTCTCAGTGTTCAAAGTATTCTAACATTGTCACCGTACAGACCAGTGTCCATGACAAACGAACAATGTCCTTGCCAGTGATTGACGTTTGGGCCAACCCTGTCTTTCCCCTAGACGTAAGTAGATCTACAAAACATTACGATGAAACGTAATATGAGCTCAACTCTTTGCTGACCGTTGGCTAACCGCGGCACAATGGAGACAGGAGGGTGTGCCTGAGGCGCGTCGTTTATTCGAACAGTCCCATGCGGATAGTAGCTTGCTATCGCAACGACGCACACCTGACGAGCTTGTCGCTCTTATGGACGCCGCTGGAGTATCACAGATATGCCTCTGTGCGTGGTATCGACCAGGGCAAGCAGTTTTTTCCAATGAAGACGTAGCGCAGTTTACGCGCGCCTATCCTGACCGTTTCATTGGTATTGCCAGTGTTAACCTACTTGACCCTGTAGGTTATGTGAAAGAGATAGTAAAATATGTGACGGTGGAGGGGTTCAAAGGCGTTCGCGTTGTACCATGGCTTTGGAACCTACCGCCCACCGATAGGCATTAGTATGTTTCTACCCACGCCCACGGATGTATCCATTGACTGAAAAGCATCATCCATTAGCTGGCCGCTCTATGTCAAGTGCATAGAACTCGATATCCCGTTTGTGAGTACTTAGAGCGCCGAAAGAGGGAATGGAGATTAATATGTTTCCCGGAATCTTAGCTTACCCAGGTCGGACATACCGGGCCCCTCTGCCCTAGCGAAGTCGGCCGGCCAGTTCCTGTAACATCCCATCTTGTCTGTCTCTTAAACCGCACTGCTGACAATTCCCAGTACATTGATGAGGTTGCGCTCAAATTTCCCTCCTTATCTATAATCTGTGGACATCTCGGGTATCCCTGGACACAGGAAATGATCGGGGTAGCTTGGAAACATCCGAATGTCTACATCGACACTTCAGCTTATTTACCCAAATACTACCCACCGGTAAATGCACCTCGTCTGCGGAGACTTCACGCCAGTAGCGCTGACACTAGACTGCTCAGGAACTGATTCAGTTCGCAAATACTATTGGACGAAAGAAGGTCATGTTTGGAACCAACTTCCCTCAGCTGAGCTGGGCCAAGTGCCTTGAGTCGGTTAGAAAAGACATCAAGCTTCGTGATGAAGTCAGAGCAGACTTCCTAGGTGGAAACGCTGCAAGGGTACTCAAATTGGACTTTCCAGCCTTGCATAAAGGAAAGCTATGAATAATGCGCTCTCAATGTCCCATCATGTATGCTATGTACTGCGATTAATTGAAACTACGCGATCATTTGCTGATATATTCACTGTGCCTAAAGTTGTGCAACAGATCGGCAGTTTAGGAATATGACTATTTGACTATTATGACCTGAATGCGCTTCTTCATGAAGCACCATGAATGGGTAACTATGATGAAGTCCATAATCGGATATGTTTGTAGAAGGTTATGCCCTCTATTAATTGTTCCATCATGGATAACTGCACTAAAGAGAGAACGTGATGTTATTTAATAATTACTGAATAAAGCATGTTAATATAGAAAGCTTAGCTACATATACATAACCAAAGCTCATAAGACATCAAGATCACTACACCTATTATACAGTTTCCCTGCTTAAAGTCTGATATGTGCATATATCTATTCTCATTCTATATGGGTATTCTACCGCGTGGTTTTCTCATCCTTCCAAGCATTTCCCGGATTTGGTTCATAAGATACCTTCAAAGCCTTCGTCTATAGGCCTACTTCTCTTCATAAGATGTATTTTTCTTCAAATTCAGTAGTTAGGGAATGGTAAGGAGCAGTGAAAAACTGTATGGTGAATTTTTGCAGGGAATTTACAGTATTCACCCTATACACTTCTCAAGTAGTATATTCACCATGTAGCATTATTCTTGCCAGTCAACAGTTTCTTGCTTTTCTGCTGAGCACTACTTAATACTCCACCTCTCCACGGACATCAACAACACTTCGCTACGACTTCAGGAATTCTTGTTGATCTCACACAGGGTCTGTTCTCTTTCCTGAATCTTCAAATACTCTATACTCTATACTATCTTGTCCCTTTCTGCGATTATGGCTCAGCCGAGAGAACGGTGCCCTTGACGGCAGTCACTACCGTGATGCGTCGTTGCGACCTGAATAACGTGTCCAGAGGACTTTGCATCCAAAACTGGTTACGCCAGTATCTAGCAAAGTTTCAACTAAGTAAATCCACGTCCAAGAACGTCGATTTCTGGTATTTAGCAGACATGCTGGGGCTGTTGCTGGGCCTTCTCGGACCTACAAAGCGCATTTCTATCTGCCCCGCACAGCAATGTTTGGCAAATGGTGCCAGCGACTTTCTTCAGTGCGCCTCCCCGCAGTAGTTCAATGTACTTGGAGTACTGCAGGGGACGGCAGGTACTGTCTGGGGGCTAGTATGTCTGGATACAGCGCGGAGAAGACCAGAACTGGGTCGTGGCTAGCAGTGCTCAACCGGGCAAGGTTCTCAGTGATGAGCTTTAGGCTGAGCGGCTGGTCGCAAGCCTAGTCACCATCCATTCGCAGGCGTGGGAAACTCAAGGGAATACCCTTTGGACGCTGTACCGAGACCTACCCCATCCGTCTTATGCTCAGGTTTGCATAGTCTATCCTCTTCACTCAAGGTCTTACTAACGTAGTTTAGGGACGCGGCCGACGAGAGCTCCATACACGGCTTGGCATTGTATGCGCAAGGTTTGTACGAAAGTGACATCTATGATGGCCATCTCTCCGGTCCTATATGGACAAACACCTGGCACCCTTGCTCTAATTGCAAGAAGTGGATTGAAAATATGGGAGGTTCGGTTGCAAACTTCGACAAGTACAACGGTCGGCGGGGTGCCCCTATCTAGCACTTCTCGTATAAGGATGATCCGAAAGGTGCTGTACAAAATTCCAACATATTGTGCTCTCCGACGGAGTACTCTCCGGATCATACATCATGCCCCCATGTCCATAGTTCGAAATCATCCTCTAGTCTTACAGAGGCAGCCATTTATAAGCTGCAACTCCGTTATCCCGTAGTCCTCCATTCCAATCGCCTATTTCCCACTGGGCTCACTGAACACATGACTGAAAGGCAGCGACGTCCCAAAATTCGGGCTCCCGTCGCTATGCGTCCCAAGCTGCTGAACCATCGTGTACCGAGAATTATCACAAGCCCCGGCACTATTATTCGTCGCATGGTACGCGATCCACGTCTGCGAGGTATCCGGGCTCTGGAAGAACGAGTTGTGGCCCGTGCCATAGTTTCCGTTCGCTGAAGACAACACACACCCATTACGCTTTGTCCAGGCACTCGCCGACGTGGGGTTAGTTTTTCCGTCCCAGGTTAACTGACCGAGACAGTAGTATGGAGTCCAACAATAAGACGCCGAGTACACGATGTATGTGACCCCGTTGAAATACAGGGCCACAGGGCCCTCGTTGACGGGTGTGCCGTGCTTCTCAAAATCCATGGTAGGCTGCGAGATGACGTGTATGTCGCCGGTGAGGGAGACATAGTCCGCGCCCAGCTGCTGCAGGCAAATGGACTGGTAAGTCACGCCGTGGAAGCAGGAGAACATGAGGAAGTTGCCGTATGCGTTAGTGCGGAGGACGGAGGCGTCGATGGACCATTCGGTTGTTAGTTGGCCGGTGTAGGTGAATGTGTCCCAAGGGGTGGAGCCGCCTGGACAGTTAGCTTTGGACGCGAAACGGTTATGGTGTCTTACCGGTCAGAACGTGGAGTCGTTGGCCGTCGAGATCGGTTGTTTGGCCGGCCGTGTAGTAGATGTACCACTTGCCGCCGAGGTAGTGGACCTCGGGAGCCCAGACGTTGCAGCATCGTGAGGCAGTCGAGGTGGAATAGACCACTTTCTTTGCGGCGGTCTTGAGACCCTCGATGGTGGTTGCGCGTGCCATCTCCACGTCGGTCCATGTCGTGGTCATCAGGTAGTAGTACCCGCCAGTATACACCATAAAGGGATCGCTTCCTCCGGGGTTGCGTATGGGGTTGGTGAACGCAGAAGTAGCGGGAATCAGAGCTAGCAGCCCTACAAGGGCCGTGACGAGCTTGGAGAAGATACTCGCCATAGTTGCGTTGCGTTATCGCGGAGATCTGCAGTGTATAGCCCTCATAGCGTACATTGATGTACTATTTATAAGCTGTCTGGAGAGTCAATAGACTACATCTAGGAATTTGATCTGTTCATAGTGTGGCTGGGGTGATCCGACCCCGCCGGAGAGTAGCTCTTTTGATATATGTTATTCTCCGGATTTACCCCGCGATTCGTCACGAAGATGGGGTCAATCTGCGCCACACGACACTACGGAAGATCTATGTGGATCCGTTATATTTCCTTGAAGAGCTCTGCTGGTGTTGAGATGGTCTCCATTCGTTGTGGGAGTCTTGGTTGCCAGTAGAGGAGTCCATTTCATCATTTTGCGAGCCATGATTAGAGGAAATATTGGTAGCCGGCTTCTCGGCTTGTGCCAAATTACCTCGTGGGCAATGATTAAATAATCGTCAGAGCAAGACATCCAGAACATGATGGGTTTGTGCAGCAAGTCATTATATTTCCCCGGCTACATCACAGACGGTATAGATTATCATCAATGGCCATCAACACCCATGTGCTAGACAACGATGCAGCAAAGCTATACCAGGCATTGCCGGCTCTGACCAGTATTGACAGAGCTTATAAAAATTATATCAATGCTGATTTGACACTGCATCCACACTCCTCCACAGGTCCCGTTCCAGCACCTCCACAGTTACGCGAAAATTGCTCTATTTTCGTCAGCACAAATCAAGGAATACAATTGTTTCAATGACATACCAGGCGACCCCTACTTCAAATCTTCTCGCTTTGTCTCAGGCTCAAACTCCATCACCTGGAAGCTCTTGATATCCGACTCCAGCTCGGAGGAGCCAGCCTCTGCGATCGAGAATTCAAACTTCTCGCATTCATCGTCCGAGAAGAACATAACCTTCTGGTTCTTTGGCAGGTCGCTGACGGTCACTTCCTCGCCTTTGGCTAGGTTGGCAGAAGTGCAGTAATCGGGTTCCGAGCCGGCCCAGTATCCGGTGGTGACTTTCCAGGCGCTGGCTGCCAAGGGGATGGCAAGGAGGACCGCGGCGAGCTTCATGGCGACAGATTGGACTCAATGATCGATTCGAAAAGGGTATTTTGGGAGAGAGAAGGAAGTGAGTGGTAGAGATACGTGGTTGATGAGGGAGAAAGATGTTGTTTATATGGTTGGAATGGGAGCAGCCGCTGGAATTTTGAGATGTGGCGAGCTGAAAACATGCATGGAGATTGCCGTTATGAATGTGAGTTGTCTCATCAAATCTGCAATCTCCTCGCTGTATGATTCGCTAACACGAGTAGTTGTCTGTAAGGGATATCACAACGTTACACAGATCCACGGCGAATGACAATACCTTCGTGCGATCGTCACTGGGTTCGTTCTCCCTGCAGTGGGAGGTTCAATAGTTTAACAGATTGGGTTTGGCCATTTGATGACTTTGAACATTTAGTAGTCCACCACCTGCTATTGGACAATTAGGATCACAGTAGGTTCAATATGGTGCAGCTGTGCCGGGTTGCAAGGAAAACTGGATCTGCCTGCTGCTAGAGTGTTTGGGAACAAGGCCCTGATTCAGAGCAATCATGCCACCAACTTCCGAACCAGTGTTCTTTGAAAGCTCCCAGCAACAGACGAGCTCACGCAGAGCCAAAGAAATATTCATTGTCTCGTGGATGAAGCATGCACGGCCGTTCTCGGATCCTTTCTGGGCTTGATCGGCTCGGAACGCATCTATTTAAACACAGGCGTTCCTTGGTGAATGTTTCTGCATTTGCTTTAAGATGCAGGTACTAGTAACATAAGACATGAATATTCCACCCATCGGCAGGCACGAGGTGGTCTAATGACCCGAAAGACTCAGTTTCATGTAAGGGATGGATCTGCTATGTTACTAAAGAATGACAAGTCCGTCGGCTGGGTGAACATTCCTCACACAGAACGCATAATGTTATTGTGTGGATAATGAGCCTCGATACAGATGGAGAAGTTCAGTGTTGGTGGAGCTTAATCTGCTGGATGTGGTGTTGTCTGCCTTTACGAAGGATCACAATATCCTGATAAATCGCTATGTGGGAGGGTATAGACTAGGATAACCGAAGAAGTCAGTATTTATGACGTTCAATCACGAGT